CGGTGGTGGAGCGGGCCCGGGAAGTGGTCCACCCTGGGCCGGGATGTGACAATTTGGTATCAGAGCCTAACCCTGGTCGTGGTGTGCCGACGAGGACGTCGGGCCCCTAAGGGGGGTGGATTGTGACATCCCACATCGCCCAGGGGAGTGATCCTTAAATGTATATTCACATCTCTACCTAGCACGAGGCCTTTTGGGAGCTCACTGGCTTCGAGTTCCGTAGGAACTCCGAAGTTAAGCGAGTAGCGCACGAGAGCAATCCCAGGATGGGTGACCCACTGGGAAGTTGCTCGTGAGTTCCCAAAAACAAAACCATGAAGGAATGGTAAGCCCAAAGCGGACAATATCGTGCTACGGTAGTGGAGTCGGGCCCGGGAAGTGGTCCCGCCCGGGCCGGGATGTGACATTCATCAAAAGCGCTTTCAATCATTTCAAAAACACATCCAAACGAGGTCTAAACTTCTTTGGCAAGCAAAATTTTGGGGAGTTCTGACGTACAGACCAATTAATGTGAGAATTTTTAATTCTTGTAGTTTTGTGTAATATTCTTCCATACTTACGATGGGAACTTTTCGTATATTTACTGCACCATTAGTATAACAATTGCAATTTACATTCCGTACTGAGCACTTTCATCAATAGTTTTAAGTTTCGGTTTTGATTTAGGGGTGTGTTATCCACACACCCCTTTTGGTGGATATCCAAATTGGGATGTGTCAGCAGGAGAATCAAGTGTTCAAATGTGAGTACAAGTCTAAGGGTATTTAGCCTAGGTAGTTTTGAATTATAATATCTTATCGATGCTTTAAATCGCTTTTGACCTGATAAGGGAATTTGTGAAATTGTTATATAATCATTCATGGTGTTGTGTATGGATCTTTTTAAGATTTTTGTTTAAGCAATTGGTTGAATGATGATCATGTTAGTCATTACGTGGATAAGTAGAATCAAACAATTTTGGCTTTGTTTTGTCCCAATTGATCATGTCTCTAGTGAAATTGTAATTCATTTTGATGCTTGTAAATCAAATTGTACTTCGACTAAGCAATTTGTTGAATTATTAATTTATTACTTATTGTGTTCGAGTAAGTGAAAGTTAGGAAAATTTGTTGTTAATTGAAGCTTAACATTATTATCGTTAAGTTTGTCCAGATAAGTGGGAGCAAATAACTTCGGTTTGCTCTATAAGTAAGTTCACACTGTTATACATACATATTGGGCATCAATAATCTTAAGCCAATTATGCGTTATGTATATTGAGAGCAGAAACTTACTATTGAAGTCGACAATAACTTCATCTTCCTCGATTCTTTAAAAATCAGATTTATTCTTACATGCAATGAGTATGATTTAATTTTCTTTAGTTTGAGAAGCCACGTCAAAATAGCCAAAAACCCCTAAAACCTGTGGGACTTTGTTCTTCAAGAAAAAAATAAGGAGGGAATATGGTAAGCAGTTATTTGAAGCGCATGTTCCACCAAGGTGGCTGTTTTGCTTTCTGATTTCTCTTTAGCTTTTCTTATATGATCGATGCTTTTATCTACGTACTCACCCATGAATAATACTAAAAAGAGAAAAACTCACACTATAGGTATATAGCACTTTATGTTTACATATTTTCCCAAACCCTAACCCTAATTCGACAACCCTAACCCTAATTTTGTTCTTTTGTTAACTCTGAATGGTGGCAGTTGGCAGTGCATGGCGGTCCACTAAGGGACCAGAGTAGTTTCGGGTCCATCCTAACAACTGTGTAAAAAAATTTCTAACAACATGAAAAGAAGATGAATTGTCCTTGTGAAGAAATTGAGTCAAACGATATCATAGCTTATATTTTTCTAACAGTTTTGTTTACTTTGGCTTTGTGGTTTCTTGAAACTCAAGAATAAGGTTTTAAAATCGACTTTAATGTTATTTCTAAAGCAACCTAATCAACTATTATTTGCAACCCTCCTCTTTGCCCTCTTTTTTTTGTCAAACGATTCAAACCAGATTTCTTTGTATTTTTGTTCATATAGTTTCACATTTTTTATTGGTTACCCTGGTCTCTACATCCTACTTAGTTGTATTATACATTTTCTTTGATTCTCTCTATTAAATTTAGCAGATCTTTTAATTTTGTGAAGATTATTTCAATTGCTCATATTAGGAGTTCGCAATTTTTTCTCAATACATAATGAAAAGCCCTCTCTCACAAAGAATTCTGGCTCAACCGTTGTGGCAGTGCCATGATTGCGAAATTTTCCCATGCTAGGGCTAGCCTATTTGCTGATTCGAAACCAAAGAAGAAGAAAAAATCTGATACCAAAAAGTAATTTCCCTGATCACTTAGTTTATAATCCTGAAAGCAACAAGGGTGGGACATGATTTTATCGATGAAGTGGATTTGGAAGAGTGGGTAACTTATGCTACTAATAATGGCAGTAGTATAATTGCATGATGATAACAGATAACCACTTGAAAGCCGCCTATTTGCTGTTTGGTATTTGGTTCGTGATGCAAATTATAATTGTGCTACTGATTAAAGTAGGGTGGTAAGTACAGCGAAAGAAGAATTCTTCATGATGTGAAGTGTATATAATGTAGGAACGAGGCTTCCAAAGGCTTGCTTTGCGGACAAGAAGCCAAAATTGCAAAGTTGATTTGACACGGCCACAAAACCTACCTACTTGGCATGGTCGCCTTCTTGCCATGCATATGGGACCAATGCATACAAATTAAGGATCACTTTCAATCTTTTGAGGACTTTTCATAAGTGCTTTTAAAAGATTGAAAATATTTTTAGATAAAATGTTTTTGGAACCAAACTTTAGTAAAATGCAAATTAATTCGGGAAAAACACTTGAAGTGCTTCCAGCAAGATGTACATAACTGGTACTTTTTAGCATGAAGCACTTCAAGTACTTTTAGAATCTAAAAGTATTTTTTCTAAAAAAAAATTTAGTCATTTAAAAGTATTTGTTGAACAAGTCCTAATTCTCTTTTCGATTGGCCAACTACATTTTACCCAATTCGTTGTCTATCATTATCGTTACCATAGTAGCTAGTGAGCTTTTTAAAACCCGAAGGAAATATAGATGTGTAGTGGGAGGAAGACACAACAAACAAAACACCCATAGAGGTTCTGGAGATCCTCTACTCATCAAGTTCTTTTCACTTCGTAGTACCCCACCATGTTGTGACGAGTACAAACAAACTGCAAGTGTCACTAATTATTTATCAAGTTCTTTTGATATGGTCTCTTGATTATATATATATATATATATATATATATATATATATATATTCATATAAATTACATATGACCGTCAGATGATGATTGTATTAAATACATGTTACTATTGTAGCCAATAATATTAGCAGAAAAAAATAAAAAACAAAAAGTTGTTTGTATATTATATGTTTGATTGTGTCAAATGATCTGATATTTACAAATTTACTTAAGTTACCTGCAAATAACACAACCCCAACACACTTGCACCAACATCTATGAAGATATGAAGATAATTCTTTGGCATTGCATCTGAGGAAAAGGCCGACTGCAGATTAAACGAAGGACCACCCAAAGCAGCCTAGCAGTTGCTAGTTAGGGCAGATGTTGCAGCCTTTGACACAAGGATGTACTTTGCTTGCTGAAACTTGATGACATCAAAGAGTATAAGCATGGAAGAACCCGTGAAGTACTAATAACTGCTAACACCAAATCTGGGCCCTTGGATAGTAGATAATATCCACTCATATCCACATTCTTCTTGGTTTCTAGCGTAGTTAGTAACGTTTACGACGCGAGAATAGATTGAAAATATATATTGGTTTATTTCTTAGTATTGAAAGAAATCTCAAGATCAAATTCTACGCATGAATCAAATAAGAAAAAACTACATAATTATGGCATTTAGCCCAACAAATTCAAAAAAGCCCATACATAACGGTTATAGGTTCAGCAAGAAAATCTGAATGAAATATGGTAATTGGGTTTAAGCTCAAAATACAATCCACTAGTAGTTTCCATATAATTATTAAATTTGACTTCCACCTACCTTCTTCCCAGCCCAGTCTGAATATTTAAAACCTCTTCACCGTCTTCGGGCCATTAAATTCTGATTTTAATTTGCTTTGATAAAAAATTGTTTACAGGATAAAAAGTTTCTTCTCATCTTGATAAATAGTAATGTCCAAAGACGAAGTGTGTGTGAACATTTTTAATTTTTAATTTTTAATTTTTAATTAGAGAATTAAAATTGTAGTTTTATGGAATTTTAATTGATAACGAGAGTTCTATTAATATATAGTTTAAAGTAAATAGAATACACCAACTAGAATTACTAGCTGGAAATATAGATTTGGTTTGGCATGACCAAAAATAAAATTACTAGAGAGAATGACCAAAAATAAACCTAAATTGTGGATGTCGAGTCGATGGTGTCGATTTTAGCATGGGGCAAAAGTTTCTCTACTTTGGCACCGCATGTTTGAATTCATACTAGAACGGCCAAAAATATACTACGTCAGCGCTGGTTTTTTGGGTTATTTTCTGGAGTAGTAACAGATGGAAAACTAAAGCCTCAGCTCTCTTTGCAAGTTGCATTAAGGCATATGCATAAAATTCAGAAACTATACAGAAAGAAAGGGCAACTGAAAAAGAACAAGAGGTCCTGGAGGCCGAGAACAAACGTGTTTTGGAAAGTTTAAAAATATAGTTTTCGATATATTCTACAAGTTCCAACCACGTTTAAAATAGTTCAGTTAGGCAACATCTGCAGCTGAAGTTGCATTCTGAAAATAACCAAGCCGAAATTAACCCGGTACGACAAACTTCTTCTCATCCTGCACATAAATAAATATTCACTGTTTGGTTGCGTCTTAGTCTTGCCATTAAGAATCTAGTTTCAGTTTGAGTTCAAAATGTACAGACAGCTTCCTTGTCCGTTTTCACATATCATGATCGGCACTGTCCAAGCATTGTTACATTATTATCCCTACAGCTACTTATCTGTTCATAGCATAGTAAATTTTGCTTGCTGATGTGAAAATGTCATAACATATATTGCTTACATATCTTCCATACCTTGCACTTTTTGTTGAAAACTTATTTACATAATACGACTTTGCATCTTTTTTGGTTCAATTTGACATAGATGAGAGACGCACATTATTAACTGTATCTACACATACTTCATTGCTGGATCAAATAAATTAGCTTTGAGGGAAAAATAAATAATCAAATATCAGGTGGGTTATACTGGGATTGAGATGGTGACTTACTAACATAGATTCTGAGAAAAAGCACCATGTTTAGCTTTCCAAGTACGACTCTGAAGCATTGAATGGTTAAATAAAGCAGAAAGCAATTTTTATTCTTCCTTCTGCCTTTTGTGAGCTTGTTCTTGGTCATCAAAACTACCACTTTCACTTGAAGCTGCTTCTTCCCAATATCCATGCGTTCGCTTCAAGATTTTCAATGTTCGGTTGAGCTCTTCCAAATCTTGCTTGTAAACCAAACGAGCCCCACACATTTTCACCAGATTTGGCATTGTTCCTGACATTGTTCCTGACCATGTTCGGTCGAGTTCTATTTCAAATGAAAACTGTTCCTGACATTGTTCTCGAGACAAATAAAATATCCAAAGGTGTTCTGGCACCATATGCTCTGTTGCACCAATACGACAAGAAATCCCAGGCAAACAGTTAAGATTGACAAAATTTACACGGAAAATTTCGAAGTTTCCCTTAGGTAGTGCAAAAGCAACGCAAAAAGCAATTCCCATCCAGCTGCTACATGATTGAGGAGGTAGCTCCACGTTTAGCGAATGTCCCACAGTGTGTTTGTTGAACCACTCGGGAATCCCCTTTCCGGGGCATACAATGTAATTACGACCCAAAGAACGACAGTTTCCCTGCACCAATGTAATGCAATTCAGAGAACAGAGAGAGAGAGAGAGAGAGAGAGAGAGAGAGAGAGAGAAGGACAGAGAGAGACAGAGAGACAAGAGTACCTTACTGGCGAATTTCACGATCCTTGAACATATTGTATTCATCCAGTCTTCATCTTCAACCAATGTAATGCAATTCAGAGAACTGAAAGTAAAATCATAAATATTGGCAAATCTGCTGCTCAACTTCGAGGGATCCGACAACCTTTTCAAGGAGGTACAATCATCTACATCTACGTGTAATTGGCTATTTGACGGAAGATCTGGCAGTTGCTCAAGTCTTTGGCACCCATTCAATAAAAGAGACTCAAGTCTAGAAAGGCATTTGATGCTTGCTGGAAGGGTAATAAAATTGTTTCTACTAAGATTTAACATTCGTAAAGAGGACAAGTTATCCCCAATATCATGGGGGATATCACCTTCACCAAGATCACAATTGTATAGTACTAAGAGCTCCAAACAACGCAAATGATTTAAAGAAGACAACACCAAACCCGAACAAGGCTCTTCGCTCTTTCTAATTCCAAATAAGCGGAGAAGGCCCCACTCTTCCCTTGGCATAACCATTGATCCATAAGCAAACAGGTTTTTGAGATTTTTCATATCAACAAGTGGCTCTCTTATTGCGTTTCCCCCCATACGAAGTTCCTCTAAAAACTCCATCTTCCCTGGGAGTTTTTCGATTTTTGAACTTCCGCAGACCCACAGCGTTTTAAGAGACTTCAAATTACAAATCTCAATAGGAATATCCAACAGATTTACGCAATAAAAAATATTCAGTACAGTAAGTCCAACCAGATGTCCAATTGTTGAAGGTAATTTCTCAATCGCAGTCCAACCTAAACCAACCTTGGACAAATTTTTCATCTGCTTTGAAAATTCTGGAATCTTTTTCACTTTGAAGCATCCATCAAGTTCTAAAACTTCAAGGGAATCCATTTCTAGCTCACTTGGGAGACTCTTAATACTTTCACAGTTATCAAGTCTCAAAACTTTAAGTCTTTTAAGAACTGCAAAAGACGGGTGTACCTCAACCAAATTAGTACAATCCTGAAGAATCAACTCCTCAAGATTTTGAAGACCAGTAAAATCTGGGGTACTTATCAATTTATGTGACTTGCTAAGATCAATATATTTCAAGTTGGGGAAATTCTGCAGAATACAAGAAATAATGTATATAAGCTTCCAATTCCAAAAACCTTACAATTTTATTGGACATAAAAAAATTGTTAAATAGCATTCATTGGGTATATTCTTACCTCTTTTCCATCCCAAAGCCGAACAAGTTTGCTATCACGCATTTGTAGTTCAGTAAGGAAACACGGGTGAAAGCTTGGTGGAAGAGACTTGGAAGGATACAAACTCCAATTCATAATTCTCAAGGAACATGGAAGAAATTTGGGACTTGAAGAAACGATCAAATTGTCAAATTCCAGAAACCTCAGTCCAGACATGTTAGAGAAGGCTTCGCAATTCCAGTGCACCTCTTCTTTTTCGGGTAACCGTAGGCTTATGGCTTCAATAGCTCTTGTCCCCTAATAACCAAGAATGTAGGAAATGTCAATTTCACATTTAGTATCGTGCCAAAAAAATAATATCTTCTATCAAACTTGGTAATCTTACATAACTTCTTACCGTATTGTTCATGAATACATGAAAAATGTCATTGGGAAGCCACAACCTACTCCGCTGGCCAGGCTCTTTAGACTCGTTACCAACAATTCTCCATGCCATTTCTTGTATCAAATCATGCATCCCTATCCTGCTGTACTTGACTGAAGTATCATACAGGAAGCATTTTTCAGAGGTCAGAAGAGATTTCTCAATTAGAGCATCTATCAAGATCCGGCTTGAAATATCAAAGGAATTGTCTAGCATTTCAATTACTCGCTGCGTGTGCTTCCCCTTGTGAAAACATGCAACATCGAGAAAAATTCTCTTCTCCATCTCTTCTAGTCCATCATAACTTATTTTGAGTTTATCAAAAATTGTTGGATTAGGAATTTTCTTTAGATTATCCCGTGCACTATTCCATGCATCTAGACCTCTCTTAAACAAAGCCGACCCCAAATGTTCAAGAGCTAATGGAAGGCCTCCAGCATGATTAATGAAATACTTAGACAGTTCCAAAAACCCATCTTCGGGCAGATCTTTCTTAAAGGCATGTTGACTAAACAGAGCAAGAGCTTCATAATCATTTAACAACTTGACGCTATGACATAAAGTTATGCCATGCTGGACTAGCAAACGTTCATTTCTAGTTGTAATGATAATTCTACTCCCACTACCAAACCAAGCTTCTTTTCCAGCTAGTACTTGTAGCTGGTTTATTTGATCCACATCATCAAGTACAAGAAGAACCTTTTTGTTGCGTAAGCACTTCTCAGTGTATATGATTCCCAACTGTTGATCCCGAACTTGCTCAATCTTTTCTTTCAAGATTGGGAAAAGAAGTTGTTGTTGAAGACTAACTGGAGTACGATCTCTGATATTTGAGAGAAAGCAATAAACTTCAAAATGATGGAAGATTCTATCATAAACTAGCTTGGCAAGGGTTGTCTTACCGATGCCGCCCATCCCCGTTATCCCTATAAAGCGAACATCATTGGCATCATGAGCTAATAGCGAACCTAGTTGCTCAAGCCCAGAATTAATTCCGACTAATTTCTGTGAGGAATCTGACACGGTGAACGCAGCTTGCACTTTCCTCCACACGATGTTGACGATTTTTTCAATAAGCTCACTTTCACACCTACAAGGTATAAAATAACCAATAAAAAATACATAAACGAAGCATTCAAGTTTGACTCTGTTAGGACATGGGAATTTAAAGTTGTTCATGCATGCTTACTTGGATTGCTTTGAATGCCAACCAGAAATTTTGGACAATCTTTTTAGATCAGCTTTCCATTGGACAACCTTCTTTTTATCTTCGGTAGTGATGAACTTTTCTTCATGCTCTGCGAAGGCTTTGGCAAAAGATCCCCGTTGATTTCCAACGTCAGATGGATCTGTCTTGTAAAAGACCGGCAGAACTGAGTTCCTAGCTTCCATGCATTCAAGAATGGCTGTAAGTTCATTCAAGCACCATTTGGAAGAAGCATAGTTTGGTGAAAGAACAACGATTGCAATATGCGATTCTTGTATCGCACTCGGGAGCTCAAGAGGAATACTTGTTCCTTCTTCAAGCTCTCGATCGTCAAGGAAAGTTGTAATTCCTTGGAACTTGCACAATTCGCGGTATAAATGGGATACGAAACCCTCGCGGGTGTCTACACCCCTAAAACTCAAAAACACATCGTACTTCCATCGAGGATCTGATTCGAGAGAAAGAAGTTGGGCAGAGGCTCTTTGGGTGCTCATCGCCATTGCAAAGAAAATGAAAAGTGAAAGAAAAACCACGATCAAAATACTCACACAAAAGTATGAGCAAACCAAAAGAGAGGTTTTGGGGGAAGGAAATAATGGAAGAGAGAGAGTGAAAGTCGTGGGGAAGCCAAGTGAGATAATAAGAATCAATCCAACAAGAAAGCGAGAGACCAAGAAGCGGACTTTATTGGATGAGGATCCCATTCAGATCCAAATGGTATGGATTCTAGAGACCCTCACATTCTAACCATTCATCGTATATTATACAATTAATTTTTTTTAAATACTATTTGTATATAATTTTAAATAATAAAATTTATATGATTTATGATCGTATGATTTATGATAAACAGTTAAGATGTGAGGATCTTAAATCCCAACCATTTGGATCCGGACGGGATCCGAAGGACCAAATCCATTATTGACAGGTAAATTGCACAAATAGATTGAGAAAAGTAAGTGTGAACAGGCAGCGCTCTACCTACTCCTACTCCTAGTTGCTCAAGCCCAGAATTAATTCCATGCATTTTGAACGCGGTTTCCAACTGCTTGATGGACACTTTTCAAGTACTTGCAGGATGCTTTCCAACCACTTGCTTAGTAAGACTGCAGCAATTACTGATTAGTGAGATTAATTTAAAGTGAATATGACCCATGAAATGATGAAGAGAAATTAGTTGAGCTTGAGGCATATCATCAAGGATTATTAACTCTTAAATGTTAATTAACAAATCAACGCTAGTAGTTATTTTTTGATTAGATTCAAAACAAGTAGCTTTTAAATTTTAATTAACACCGAATAATTAACTAAATTCCCTTACAAACAAATGAAAAGTGAACGAAAAACCACGACGAAAATACTCACACAAAAGTAGGTGCAGACCAAAAGAGAGGTTTTGGGGAAAGGAAATAATGGAACTGGAAGAGAGAAAGAAATAAAGTTGTAGGGAAGCCAAGTGGGACAATACGAATCGATCCAACAAGAAAACCACAAATTGAACACCAACAGACTTAATTGACAAGGAAATTGCAGAAACAGATTGAAAAAAGTCAGTGTGAACAGGCTGGACGGCTTCCATTTATTCTTTTTTTGGGGCCCCATTTATTCTGAACGGTTTCCAACTACTTGTTGGACGGCTTCCAATCACGTTATACATGTTATACATGTCTCTTTCAAGATTTTTCACACTTCGGTCTGTTTACTGTTGGGATCCACTACTTTTCTATGCTTCATCTTTTTTCAAAGCTACAAGCTTCTTCTTTATTGATTTGGCGGTAGAAGGAGTAATTTCTTCACTCTTCCGAATTACTCAAATTATCCAAATAAGTACTCCTTTCGTGTTTGTCATTGAAAAGATTATGAAAATACTTTCAGTTTGAATTCATAATCTGGAGAGCCACTATCTCGTGCACCACTAGCAGAACTATCACTAGGACTATTTGATGTCAAGTGCTTGCCACCCTGAAGTACCCGAAAACATGATAAGCAGGCAGTCATTCAACAGGTGTACTTATACATATCGAAATGTAAGAGAAACTTTCATACATCCAAAGTCTATGTGCGTGTGTGATTTCACCATATGAAGGTTGGATGACTACAATAAAATCATATGAACTGAACTATAAGGTTGGATGACTCATTTAGAATACACACACACACACACACACACACACACACACACACACACACATATATATTAAACATATAAAGTATTAAAAAATAAGATAAAAAAATGTCTATAAAAAAAGAAAAATATATATTTAACATGCAAAAACACTATGTCTATGCAAGGAGGAGTTTAATTTCTTTAAGAATCAAATACCTATATAACACAGATCACTGCAAGACAAGAGAAAACATAAAATTTAACCACAAAAGACGTTTCTAAGTGGGCATATTTACATCAAGGTAGAGGCCTCCATCACTCCATCCGTCAATTTTCGAACGCCCACCTCTGCCAGAGGAAATTAGTGCTTTAAGGCCTGCAATCCACACTTGCGCCTCAACTTTGTCCTTGCAAATCTGGACGCAAATAACAGATTATCATAAATATTGTTATTGTAAATAAAAATAGGAAACAATGTAAAGACAAATAATTTTGAGCTTCCACCACTAACCAGATCAAGAGACCGCGTTCCGTTATTGTATGGAAGAGAAAATGATAAATAGTCCTTTTCAGGACGTAAATATCGGTGAAAGACAGCCTGTAACAAATTTTGGAGCAAGATGAAATTAGAATAAGCATCGCTAGAAGACTTAAATTTAAACTGCAGTAAATCTATGCCAATCATGTACTAAAAAATTATATCAAATTGCTCACAGTTCTTTGTCCAGGAACAATTCTTGTGAAAGAAGCCAACTTCAAACTTCTTTCACTACTTGAAATCCAGATCAAAGTTGATTCGTCCTGAAATTATTAAATGCAGCAGTAAGTAGAAAATAGAAAGAATTTAAGCAGACAAAATTTGTGAATTAAAATACAATAAATATAATCACAGGCAAGAACCATAGAAGGCTAGTGAAATGGTATCCCATTAGCAGTATTTTACATTGCATACATCAAAACACAAAGTAGCATGGTTATGCAGCAACGTAGCAGCACAACTAATGCCAACTGACATTTAACATATTCCAATACCTTACAAGGTGAATTGTATAGTCTATCAAACCTTCGTAGCTATTAATGATATGTTTCTCCAAGAACTATAGACCATATTTTGCCTTGACTGACCTCAAACTACACTACGAATAAGTTCTCAAATCTCTTATCCAAATTAAATATGCCATAGAATCTGGCAAACTGCCTACTGTACCCTTTGGTTCCAATCTGCCACATGGATCGGAACCTAAATTAACTCAGATTTCCCCTTCAGTTATTAATTTAATTAGCAGAAGGGAAACTTGATAAATTTTATCTTTTCCGTTATAAGCACAAATGGAAATTGTATGCTTGTGGGAGAAGATGGAAATTACCTAATTGACACTACATTACCACTGCTAAGCAGGAAATTCAATTAAATATGTTTCGTAGCATTCTTGACTTCATCCTTTTATAAATTTTACTGTCTGTTCATGCAGGAATTGTGGAATAAATTTTTTATTTCAACCTTAATAATTGAGCACACCATGTTCTTTTCCTTCCATGGAGTGGACAAACCACCAATATTTTAAAAATAAAAAATAAATCCTAATAGAGAAGCTTTAGATACAAACTTACAGTAGAAAGTCTAAATGGACAAAACTTAGGCTTTCCCTTACGACCATATTTCAGTAGTTGAGCACCCTTCTTCAAAGCAATTATTGCCTGAAAATCATTTAAGAATCAGTCAAAACCATGAGAAAGATATGAAGGGCGGATAAACGCTGTATGAACTAAACATAGGACCATAATAACCCACACAAAAGAGTTGTATCATTTATACTCGAATATAGAATTCTACACCATATCAAATGCTATTCTAATTATAACGTTACCCTGAACTCCATAACGCGTATAGTAATGACTTTTTGACTTCCAATTCAAGAAACATACCAATTTAGTTCTCATTCAGTTACAAGTTACAACCTTCCAAAACATATCATAATTCATAACTGTTATCCTGCGACTAAGAGAATAAATCGCTAAATCCAAACTTTTAAGATATTAAGAAACCCTATGCGTCTTCTAAAGTTACTATAAAAACTGTTCCAACTAGAGCAGCAGGTTTTACACCCTGCGAAGAAAGTAAAATGTGGTTTCCATGCAATGCCATTTCCATTAGATCACTTTGTCGCAATAATCACTAGACATTTATCGTTCGAAGATGTCAGTACTTTACATATGCCTCAGAGCAAACCCAGTTGCCGATATGGAAAATGCACATGGGAAAAATACAAAATTAAAAAAGGTTCGAAACTTCGGCCCTGTTTGGTTCTGTAAAAGCACCCATACTGCATCCATTGAGCCGAAAACGATGAACCCAGAAGTGATCCTCAAAACCAAAACCTTGAGAAGAATATGTTCCCACTAATTATATCTAAAAAGTTGTATGTCAATTACCAAATCAAAATTCCCTCACATTTTTAACATACCTGAAGATTATGTTCCCAGTAATTATATCTAGAGAGTTGTTTTTCAATTACCAAATCAAAATTCCCTCACATTTTTAACATACCTACAAAACTTAAAAGTATCAAGCTAAAAATAAAGAGCTCTCCATCCAATTTCCACTTTTTGGAGGAGGAAAAAAACAAATCTTCTGCTTTTCTAAGTAATTAAACAGACAAATAATTAGGAATTTATTTCATTTTCTTTGTATTTTTTGATACATTTGCAAAAACAAAAAAGAGGCAAAGAGAATTTAGAGAGAAAGAGACCGACCTGGTCGATGTCACGGTTGGCATTCCCGTAGCTAACAAGATCTGCCATTCCATGTGACAGAAATTACCGTAACGCCACCACCCTCTCCGATCCCCCGCCGGAGCTCCGTTCGTCATCTACCTTCCAACTGTCTCTCGCGCCTCCGTGCAATACCATCAACGGCCACGTCACCACCACCACAACCACCACTACTCAGCTCTCTCTTTCTCTACACTGCGCGGCGCAGATCTGCCGAAACCCTAAGACCTCCAGTTCTGATCTTTGACTCCGAGCAAAGAAGAAACTGAGCTCGAAGCTGTGGACTGTTGGGAAGCTGGTTGCGGAGAGACCGACGGCGGGTTGAAAAACGAAGAGGGCCTCAGAGAGGAATTTAGGGAGTGAAAGAGAAAAGAGAAGGGACGAAAGGGCGTCGGAGAATGGGACGGGAGGGGAAGCGGACCGGACGAAGGAGCGAGGGAGGGAACAGAAGAGAGAGAAAATTCACTGGAAAGAGAAAATTTAGAGGGGGGTGGAGTGGGGGCCGTGGGGCGTGTCCGAGTCTGTAAAAAGCACAACTGGTCAAACGTGTGAAAAATTGAGTACTACCGATCAAATAAATCAAACTCGCAAAATAAAATAAAATAAAATATGTATCTTCTAGAATTTTAGAATTTGATGCAACTGAGTGCGTACTTGTTGAAACTACATGATGTTAGAGATTTTAATAATAAATATATAAATTATTTTATATATATATATATTATATTGACTTGGTGCTGCATTGTTACAATTTTTAGTTAAAAAAATATGATGCTTACTCAAATTGTATGGATAAAATTAAAAGATATAAATAATTAAAATTTACTTTCTGAAAATTCTAAATAGAAGATATGTCTTTTGGGTCAACACTATTAAGAAGGGTTATATATCTTCAACTAAAATAAAAAAACTCGATGAATGGGTGCTTTAATGCCTATAAATACCTATTGTGACATAATGTTTCACACACAATTTCAGAAATTTATTTTTACATTCCTTGTTCTCTCTTCTCTCCATCACATTCATACAATTTCCTTCTACTTATTTCTAAGGGAATGCAATTCGGTTTTGCTAATCGAATATTTTATACTTTGTTATATCCTCGAAGTGACTTGCCAAGAACCCTTTAACAAACTCATTCTAGTGGGGGCAAATAACACTTTAAGGAAACGATTCAAGTTGTACCTCAAAGTCATCATTCAGATTATTCTCTATAGAAAATTCTCTATATTTTTATATTTACTCTAACACATGACCAAGATGGAAAGTTACTCAAAGTTTTTCTTTTTATAAACAAGGTTAAACAAGCCACTAATTAGATGTGTCCTCCTCGTATGTTGTTTTTAAAAACGTTTTGTTGTAAGACTAAGATTGCAGCAATCAGTTTTGGTTTTCTCTTTTTATATAAGTAGTGTCGACCGGCCATATAAGTATAACTTTTCTTTCTTGCAAGAGTTTTATTTGTTATTTTCCAAAGGTTCCATTGCTGGAAATTGGCGAGGTGTAATGTCTTCAGCCAAATTTGAACTGAATGTAATTGTAGTCTAAGTTTTGTGTTTCGTTTTTCGTTTTGTGCTACATAAATGTTTACGTAACTACTCATATACATTATGATATATTCAATTTCAAAAACACTTTATCATTATAAGATTGTGGTTAGACTTTAGTGATGATTTTGGGTCCTTGTAAGAGTGCAAGTGATGCATCCTTTTCTTCTTTACGGGTGGTATTAGGTTTGAGCGTTGCGAGAATAGCACGATGATGATAATGGCCTTCATTAGGAGTGATGTGGTGAAAAGAGAAGCGACCAAGTTGTACGTTGGTCTACACACAAGAAGGACTGGAGAAGGGTAGAGAAGGTATTGCACAAGTGAAGGTGGGTTAAGAACTTTAGAGGGATTTGGTGGCGGTTGTAACACCGAAGGTAGCAGATTTTGAACCCAAACGAGGAGAATGTAGGAGTGTGTGAATACCTACAATTGCACCAATGTTTCATAAATCCATATTAATTTGTGCACACGAATGTCATTGATTTGTATTAAGGAAATACATGGACGAATATTCTATGCATTTTTAAGTGGAGAAAATCCAACAAAAAAACTCGACTCCTTTGTAAACATGAATATCAATCAATAATGTGCGTGTTAAAATATAGTCATTCTTTACTTCCTAAAGATAAAAGAATGAATGCATGAACTCGAATGCATAAACGAGTTTTTGGTTTGTTTGAATATTAGGAAGTGTTTTCTAATAACTAAAAACACTTATAACTAAAGTCTTGTTTGATATTGTTTTTTCATCAAAAGCTATTTCACTTTAAAATTAAGCATTAAAAAAATGTCTAGTAAAAACAAAATATCTTGCTTATTTTAAAAGCAGTAGCCTCCAGACATTTTCTTTGAAAGCAGTATGCATGTTGCTTTTAAAAGTTATTTTCATAAAAAGTTGAGTTGAATCTTTAATATATATTTTCAATTCCTTAATACCCTTATTAATTAAAAAAAATTATTTATCTTTTTTACTTGGTTTTATATTATGTTGATAAAAAGAAGAGTTTTATTACACTTATTTTTTCTCGCTCACACTTTTTGTATTGCGTCCCTCCAAGACTTAGTAGCTAAGAGCTCGTTTAGATGTGCTTTTAAAATGATTAAATGCGCTTTTAGAGAAAACATTTTTGGGTTTCGAAAGCACTAAAAGTGCTTTCTGCATTAGTGCTTTCTGCAAGAAGCATCAGTTATGTGATTCTTCTAGGAAGCACCTTAAGTGCTTTTCCAGAATTTACTTGCATCTTTACTAATGATTGGTTCTAAAAACATTTTCACCAAAAGCGCTTTCAATCATTTCAAAAACACATCCAAACAAGGTCTAAACTTCTTTGGCAAGCAAAATTTTGGGGAGTTCTGACGTACAGTCCAATTAATGTGAGAATTTTTAATTCTTGTAGTTTTGTGTAATATTCTTCCATACTTACGATGGGAACTTTTCGTATATTTACTGCACCATTAGTATAACAATTGCAATTTACATTCCATATTGAGCACTTTCATCAATAGTTTTAAGTTTCGGTTTTGATTTACGGGTGTGCTATCCACACACCCCTTTTGGTGGATATCCAAATCAGGATGTGTCAGCAGGAGAATCAAGTGTTCAAATGTGAGTACAAGTCTAAGGGTATTTAGGCTGGGTAGTTTTGAATTATAATATCTTATCGATGCTTTAAATCCCTTTTGACTTGATAAGGGAATTTGTGAAATTGTTATATAATCATTCATGGTGTTGTGTATGGATCTTTTTAAGATTTTTGTTTAAGCAATTGGTTGAATGATGATCATGTTAGTCATTATGTGGATAAGTAGAATCAAACAATTTGGCTTTGTTTTGTCCCAATTGATCATGTCTCTAGTGAAATTGTAAATTCATTTTGATGCTTGTAAATCAAATTGTACTTCGGCTAAGCAATTTGTTGAATTATTAATTTATTACTTATTGTGTTCGAGTAAGTGAAAGTTAGGAAAATTTGTTGTTAATTGAAGCTTAACATTATTATCGTTAAGTTTGTCCGGATAAGTGGGAGCGAATAACTTCGGTTTGCTCTATAAGTAAGTTCATACTGTTATACATATATATTGGGCATCAATAATCTTAAGCCAATTATGCGTTATGTATATTGAGAGCAGAAACTTACTATTGAAGTCGACAATAACTTCATCTTCCTCGATTCTTTAAAGATCAGATTTATTCTTACATGCAATGAGTATGATTTAATTTTCTTTAGTTTGAGAAGCCACGTCAAAATAGCCAAAAACCCCTAAAACCTGTGGGACTTTGTTCTTCAAGAAACGTTCCTCGTCATTAATATGTTTGCTCGCGGTAATTGTGGCCTCTCGGGCGAATCGATGACTGCATCTTTGATGCACTTGCTAGTACATCTGAGAATTCTTAATTAGACTTCAGGGGGTATTCACGTTTGGCATATGCCTGCTCTGACCGAGATCTATCATCATCCCGCCGCTCCTATCAACGCTTACTTACTTATGAGCAAAAGGGGTTATAAAAAAAATAATCAGCCCTTTGAATAAGCCGATAGAAATAGTTGCATGCAAAAGAGATCCCAATTCCGTTTGTCCGGTTAAGCAAATAAGGAGGGAATATGGTAAGCAGTTATTTGAAGCGCATGTTCCACCAAGGTGGCTGTTTTGCTTTCTGATTTCTCTCTCAGCTTTTCTTACATGATCGATGCTTTTATCTATGTACTCACCCATGAATAATACTAAAAAGAGAAAAACTCACACTATAGGTATATAGCACCTTATGTTTACACATTTTCGCAAACCCTAACCCTAATTCGACAACCCTAACCCTAATTTTGTTCTTTTGTTAACTCTGAATGGTGGCAGCTGGCAGTGCATGGCGGTCCACTAAGGGACCAGAGTAGTTTCGGGTCCATCCTAACAACTGTGTAAAAAAATTTCTAACAACATGAAAAGAAGATGAATTGTCCTTGTGAAGAAATTAAGTCAAACGACATCATAGCTTATATTTTTCTAACAGTTTTGTTTACTTTGGCTTTGTGGTTTCTTGAAACTCAAGAATAAGGTTTTAGAATCGACTTTAATGTTATTTCTAAAGCAACCTAATCAACTATTATTTGCAACCCTCCTCTTTGCCCTCTTTTTTTTTGTCAAACGATTCAAACCAGATTTCTTTGTATTTTTGTTCATATAGTTTCACATTTTTTACTGGTTACCCTGGTCTCTACATCCTACTTAGTTGTATTATACATTTTCTTTGATTCTCTCTATTAAATTTAGCAGATCTTTTAATTTTGTGAAGATTATTTCAATTGCTCATATTACGAGTTCGCAATTTTTTCTCAATACATAATGAAAAGCCCTCTCTCACAAAGAATTCTGGCTCAACCGTTGTGGCAGTGCCATGATTGCGAAATTTTCCCATGCTAGGGCTAGCCTATTTGCTGATTCGAAGCCAAAGAAGAAGAAAAAAATCTGATACCAAAAAGTAATTTCCCTGATCACTTAGTTTATAATCCTGAAAGCAACAAGGTGGGACATGATTTTATTGATGACGTGGATTTGGAAGAGTGGGTAACTTATGCTACTAATAATGGCAGTAGTATAATTGCATGATGATAACAGATAACCACTTGAAAGCCGCCTATTTGCTGTTTGGTATTTGGTTCGTGATGCAAATTATAATTGTGCTACTGATTAAAGTAGGGTGGTAAGTACAGCGAAAGAAGAATTCTTCTTGATGTGAGAACCAAGAAGTATATATAATGTAGGAACGAGGCTTCCAAAGGCTTGCTTTGCGGACAAGAAGCCAAAATTGCAAAGTTGATTTGACACAGCCACAAAACCTACCTACTTGGCATGGTCGCCTTCTTGCCATGCATATGGGACCATTGCATACAAATTAAGGATCACTTTCACTCTTTTGAGGACTTTTCATAAGTGCTTTTAAAAGATTAAAAATATTTTTAGATAGAATGTTTTTGGAACCAAAATTTAGTAAAATGCAAATTAATTCCGGAAAAACACTTGAAGTGTTTCCAGCAAGATGTACATAACTAGTACTTTTTAGCATGAAGCTTTTCAAGTGCTTTTGGAATCTAAACATATTTTTTCTAAAAGAGTTTTTAGTCATTTAAAAGTATTTGTCGAACAAGTCCTAATTCTCTTTTCGATTGGCCAACTACATTTTACCCAATTGGTTGTCTATCATTATCGTTACCATAGTAGCTAGTGAGCTTTTTAAAACCCGAAGGAAATATAGATGTGTAGTGGGAGGAAGACACAACAAACAAAACACCCATAGAGGTTCAGGAGATCCTCTACTCATCAAGTTCTTTTCACTTCGTAGTACCCCACCATGTTGTGACGAGTACAAACAAACTGCAAGTGTCACTAATTATTTATCAAGTTCTTTTGATATGGTCTCTTGATTATATATATATATATATATATATTCATATGAATTACATATGATCGTTAGATGATGATTGTATCAAATACATGTTACTATTGTAGCCAATAATATTAGCAGAAAAAAATAAAAAACAAAAAGTTGTTTGTATATTATATGTTTGATTTTGTCAAATGATCTGATATTTACAAATTTACTTAAGTTACCTGCGAAATAACACAACCCCAACACACTTGCACCAACATCTATGAAGATATGAAGATAATTCTTTGGCATTGCATCTGAGGAAAAGGCCGACTGCAGATTAAACGAAGGACCACCCAAAGCAGCCTAGCAGTTGCTAGTTAGGGCAGATGTTGCAGCCTTTGACACAAGGATGTACTTTGCTTGCTGAAACTTGATGACATCAAAGAGTATAAGCATGGAAGAACCCGTGAAGTACTACTAACTGCTAACACCAAATCTGGGCCCTTGGATGGTAGATAATATCCACTCATATCCACATTCTTCTTGGTTTCTAGCGTAGTTAGTAAAGTTTATGACAAGAGAATAAAATGAAAATATTTATTGGTTTATTTCTTAGTATTGAAAGAAATCTCAATATCGAATTCTACGCATGAATCAAATAAGAAAAAACTACATAATTATGGCATTTAGCCCAACAAATTGAAAAAAGCCCATACATAACGGTTATAGGTCCAGCAAGAAAATCTGAATGAAATATGGTAATTGGGTTTAAGCCCAAAATACAATCCACTAGCAGTTTCCATATGATTATTAAATTTGACTTCCACCTACCTTCTTCCAGCCCAGTCCGAATATTTAAAACCTCTTCACCGTCTTTGGACCATTAAATTCGGACTTTAATTTGCGTTGATAAAAAATTGTTTACAGGATAAAAAGTTTCTTCTCATCTTGATAAATGGTAATGTCCAAAGACGAAGTGTGTGTGAACATTTTTTATTTTTTATTTTTTTAAATGGATGGAGAGAGTAAGAGAGTGTGAGAGAATGTGAGAGCGGGAGAGAGTAGACAAAGATTTTTTTTTTATTATTATTTTTATCTTTTATCTTTTATTTATTTATTTTTAAATTGAAGACATTAAAAACTATATGTGGATGATGCTTTTAAAAAACAGTAAAATTTGTGTTCTTGTAATTACTAAATTGCCCATCATTTTTAATTGTATTCAGTTTTAATTAGAGAATTAAAATTGTAGTTTTATGGAATTTTAATTAACAACAAGAGTTATCCCTACAGCTACTTATCTGTTCATAGCATAGTAAATTTTGCTTGCTGATATGAAAATGTAATAACATATATTGCTTACATATCTTCCATACCTTGCACTTTTTGTTGAAAACTTATTTACATAATACAACTTTGCATCTTTTTTGGTTCAATTTGACATAGATGAGAGACGCACATTATTAACTGTATGTACACATACTTCATTGCTGGATCAAATAAATTAGCTTTGAGGGAAAAATAAATAATCAAATATCAGGTGGGTTATACTGGGATTGAGATGGTGACTTACTAACATAGATTCTGAGAAAAAGCACCATGTTTAGCTTTCCAAGTACGACTCTGAAGCATTGAATGGTTAAATAAAGCAGAGAGCAATTTTTATTCTTCCTTCTGCCTTTTGTGAGCTTGTTCTTGGTCATCAAAACTACCACTTTCACTTGAAGCTGCTTCTTCCCAATATCCATGCGATCGCTTCAAGATTTTCAATGTTCGGTTGAGCTCTTCCAAATCTTGCTTGTACACCAAACGAGCCCCACACATTTTCACCATATTTGGTTCATTTCCTCCAAATAGATAACATGTTTCAAATGAAAACTGTTCCTGACATTGTTCTCGAGACAAATAAAATATGCAAAGGTGTTCTGACACCATATGCTCTGTTGCAGAAATGCAACATGAAATCCCAGGCAAACACTTAATTTCGAAACTATAATAAGGATAGTTTTTCTTAGCAAAAACAACGCAAAAAGCAATTCCCATCCAGCTGCTACATGATTGAGGAGGTAGCTTCACGTTTAGCGAATGTCCCACAGTTTGATTGTTGAACCACTCGGGAATCCCCTTTCCGGGGCATACAATGTAATTATGATCCAAAGAACGACAGATTCCCTGCACCAAAAGAACCAATGTAATGCAATTCAGAGAACAGAGAGAGAGAGAGAGAGAGAGACAGAGAGACAAGAGTACCTTACTGGCGAATTTCACGATCCTTGAACATATTGTATTCATCCAGTCTTCATCTTCAACCAATGTAATGCAATTCAGAGAACTGAAAGTAAAATCATAAATATTGGCAAATCTGCTGCTCAACTTCGAGGGATCCGACAACCTTTTCAAGGAGGTACAATTATCTACGATTACGTGTAATTTGCTATTTGACGGAAGTTCTGGCAGTTGCTCAAGTCTTTGGCACCCATTCAACCGAAGAGACACAAGTCGAGAAAGGCATTTGATGCTTGCTGGAAGGGTAATAAAATTGTTTCCACGAAGATCTAACATTCGTAAAGAGGACAAGTTATCCCCGATATCATGGGGGATATCACCTTCACCAAGATCACAATAGGGTAGTGCTAAGTTCTCCAAATAACACAAACAATTTAAAGAAGACAACACCAAACCCCAACAAGTGGCTCTTTCTAATTCCAAATAAGCGGAGAAGGCCCCACTCGTCCCTTGGCTTACCCATTGATCCAGAAACACGCAGCGTTTTGAGATTTTTCATATCAACAAGTGGCTCTCTTATTGCGTTTCCCCCCATTTTAAGTACCTTTAAAAACTCCACTTTCCCTGGGAGTTTTTCTATTTTCGAACTTCCGCAGACATACAGCGTTTCAAGAGACTTCAAGTTACAAATCTCAATAGGAATATCCAACAGATTTCTGCATTCATTAATAAACAAACCTGTAAGTCCAACCAGATGTCCAATTGTTGAAGGTAATTTCTCAATCGCAGTCCCACCTAATGAAACCATGGACAAATTTTTCATCTGCTTTGAAAATTCTGGAATCTTTTTCACTTTGGAGCATCCACTAAGATCTAAATCTTCAAGGGAATCCATTTCTAGCTCACTTGGGAGACTCTCAATACTTTCACAGAAACCAAGGCTCAAAACTTTAAGTCTTTTAAGAACTGCAAAAGACGAGTGTACCTCAACCAAATTAGTACAAGACTGAAGAATCAACTCCTCAAGATTTCGAAGACCAGTAAAATCTAGGGTACTTATCAATTTATGTGACTTGCTAAGATCAATATATTTCAAGTTGGGGAAATTCTGCAGAATACAAGAAATAATGTATATAAGCTTCCAATTCCAAAAACCTTACAATTTTATTGGACATAAAAAAATTGTTCAATAGCATTCATTGGGTATATTCTTACCTCTTTTCCATCCCAAAGCCGAACAAGTTTGCTATCACGCATTTGAAGTTCAGTAAGGAAACGCGGGTTAAAGCTTGGTGGAAGAGACTTGAAAGGATACAAACTCCAATTCATAATTCTCAAGGAACATGGAAGAAATTTGGGACTTGAAGAAACGATCAAATTGTCAAATTCCAGAAACCTCAGTCCAGACATGTTAGAGAAGGCTTCGCAATTCCAGTGCACCTCTTCTTTTTCGGGTAACCGTAGGCTTATGGCTTCAATAGCTCTTGTCCCCTAATAACCAAGAATGTAGGAAATGTCAATTTCACATTTAGTATCGTGCCAAAAAAATAATATCTTCTATCAAACTTGGTAATCTTACATAACTTCTTACCGTATTGTTCATGAATACATGAAAAATGTCATTGGGAAGCCACAACCTACTCCGCCGGCCAGGCTCTTTAGACTCGTTACCAACAATTCTCCATGCCATTTCTTGTATCAAATCATGCATCCCTATCCTGCTGTACTTGACTGAAGTATCATACAGGAAGCATTTTTCAGAGGTCAGAAGAGATTTCTCAATTAGAGCATCTATCAAGATCCGGCTTGAAATATCAAAGGAATTGTCTAGCATTTCAATTACTCGCTGCGTGTGCTTCCCTTTGTGAAAACATGCAACATCGAGAAAAATTCTCTTCTCCATCTCTTCTAGTCCATCATAACTTATTTTGAGTTTATCAAAAATTGTTGGATTAGGAATTTTCTTTAGATTATCCCGTGCACTATTCCATGCATCTAGACCTCTCTTAAACAAAGCCGACCCCAAATGTTCAAGAGCTAATGGAAGGCCTCCAGCATGATTAATGAAATACTTAGACAGTTCCAAAAACCCAACTTCGGGCAGATCTTTCTTAAAGGCATGTTGACTAAACAGAGCAAGAGCTTCATAATCATTTAACAACTTGACGCTATGACATAAAGTTATGCCATGCTGGACTAGCAAACGTTCATTTCTAGTTGTAATGATAATTCTACTCCCACTACCAAACCAAGCTTCTTTTCCAGCTAATACTTGTAGCTGGTTTATTTGATCCACATCATCAAGTACAAGAAGAACCTTTTTGTTGCTTAAGCACTTCTCTGTGTATATGATTCCCAACTGTTGATCCCGAACTTTCTCAATCTTTTCTTCCAAGACTGGGAAAAGAAGTTGTTGTTGAAGACTAACTGGAGTACAATCTCTGATATTTGCGAGAAAGCAGTAAACTTCAAAATGATGGAAGATTCTATCATAAACTAGCTTGGCAAGGGTTGTCTTACCGATGCCGCCCATCCCCGTTATCCCTATAAAGCGAACATCATTGGCATCATGAGCTAATAGCAAACTTAGTTGCTCAAGCCCAAAATTAATTCCGACTAATTTCTGTGAGGAATCTGACACGGTGAACGCAGCTTGCACCTTCCACCACACTCTATTGACGATTTTTTCAATAAGCTCACTTTCACACCTACATGGTATAAAATAACCAATCAAAAAACATAAGCGAAGCATTCAAGTTTGACTCTGTTAAGACATGGGAAATTAAAGTTGTCATGCATGCTTACTTATATTGCTTCGAATGCCAACCAGAAATTTTGGACAGTCTTTTTAGATCAGCTTTCCATTGGACAACCTTCTTTTTATCTTCGGTAGTGATGAACTTTTCTTCATGCTCTGCGAAGGCGTTGGCAAAAGATCCCCGTTGATTTCCAACGTCAGATGGATCTGTCTCGTAAAAGACCGGCAGAACTGAGTTCCTAGCTTCCATGCATTCAAGAATGGCTGTAAGTTCATTCAAGCACCATTTGGAAGAAGCATAGTTTGGTGAAAGAACAACGATTGCAACATGCGATTCTTTGATCGCACTCGGGAGCTCAAGTGGAATACTTGTTCCTTCTTCAAGCTCTCGATCGTCAAGGAAAGTCGTAATTCCTTGGAACTTGCACAATTCGCGGTATAAATGGGATACGAAACCCTTGCGGGTGTCTACACCCCTAAAACTCAAAAACACATCGTACTTCCATCGAGGAGCTGATTCGAGAGAAAGAAGCGGTGCAGAGGCTCTTTGGGTGCTCATCGCCATTGCAAAGCAAATAAAAAGTGAACCAAAAACCACGATGAAAATACTCACACAAAAGCAGTGGTCTAAAAAAACGGTGCGGCCACCTAGGCGCTGGGCGGCGGTGCTCGGCCGCGATTAACCCGAAATTGTTTCTAAAATCGGCAAGGTTGTTAGGCGGCGTGCTGTCTGGGCAGACGCTAGGCGGTCTGGTGGGACGCTGGGTGGTTTGACGGCCTGAGAAAGAACATCTGTAGCGAGACCCGATTTGTCTCCCCGAGTCTCGCCATCTCCCTCTCAATGTGCAAACAAAATCGATACGAATCAATCCAACAAGAAAACAACAAAATAAAGACCAAGAAGCAGACTTAATTGGCAAGAAAAGATTGAGAAAAGTCAGTGTGACTACCTACTCCTAGTCCTGCTCCTTAATTGGACCAAAAATAATTATTCATTTTCTAGGGGCCTCTATGCATTCTGAGCGCGGTTTCCAACTACTTGCTGAACGATTTCAAACTGCTTGCTAGACGGGTTCCAACCACTTGCTTGGTAAGATTGCAGAGTTTTCTGACTAGTGGGATTAATTTAAAGCGAAAAACCGATGAAATAATTGAGAGAAATTGGTTGAGGCTAGGCATCATCAAGGATTAACTTTTAAATGTTAATTAAAAAATCGACACTAGCTACTAAGTTCTTTTTATAGATTAGATTCAAAACAATTAGCTTAATTAACACCGAATAAATTAACCAAATTATGAAGAAGGAAGAATATTTTCTTAACAAAGAAACCCTAAGCTCTTTAATTCTCATTCATCATTTAAGTCTGATTTAGGCATCCGCAGACACCTGATTCATCATTAACAAAGTCTAACATGTTTATTCTTTTATTTGGTGGCAGATATTCGTTTCTAATTCTATTCCTCACTTCATCATTCTAACTATAGATTTTGTCCAGAAACAAAATCATTCTATTTATAGATAAACCAAGTAACACCGAATAATTAACAAGGGTAAAGATAAAAACAACAATAAAATGTGATGTGCAGGGTAGTGTAGTAGGGGCAAAATTAACAATTTATGCCGGAAAACGAAAATTATTTTTCCACTAAAAACAAAACAAGAGATGGAAATGTACCAAAAAGTCAGGATCGGTGGCTTACCCCTTCTTGTATTAAGTCAGCCATAGTTGTGGTGGAAAAAATACAGGAATTGTTCTGCTGCTGCTAGTCTAGTCCCATCCCCTGGCAACCCATTTCATCCGAGGGATGAAGGAGAGCGAATTAAGTACTAGTGTTCTGCGTCAATACTCAACTCTCAACTTTGGTTTTTTCAGTATTATTTAGTACTACGGTCTAGTGATATTACTCTTTACTTGAAATGAGAGGTTTTAGGTTTGATTCTTGTTAAAAGCAAATTTTAACCACATTATTAGAACTCATCTGTTGTGAAACTTAGGCCACTCTTCCTTAATATAAATAATATCGCTTATTCAAAAAATAACCTTGATTTGTTTAGTTTGGTTTTGGACGACCACGGGTTGGACTTGTGTATTTTGTACTTTTAGACTCTAGCCTTGACTTTAAATCTTTCTGGGAAGTTAATGGTGGATTCAACTGATGGTTTGAATTTTTCTTTTCAAATCAGTCTCTCACGTTCAAACTTTCTTATTCTTCTAAGTGTAGTTAGTGTACAATTTAGCTTGAATAAAATAAAAAACAATGGGGAAATTCAAGCCAATTTCATCCTTAAATAATAAAAAAATCTTCCAGTCTATCGACTATAATGCGAGTGAAAAACCAAGAATCTAAACTGACTTTTTTCGCTAAAATATGTCCTTAAACTGATTATTATTTGCCAATTTCATCCTTGATAAAAAATTTGATGGTAATTTATCAATTTAAATCACGTAAGTTGCACATAACACACTATAGGAGATAATATTGTCATTTTCTTGCCCATATACCCTTAATATTTCGTATAGATTGTGAGCTTAATTATTAATTTATCCTCCAAAATTAACTCTGTGCATTATTTTAACCAAAAAAAGAATTCTTAAACTCATTACAAATTAGAGAATTTTGTCTCCAACCTTGTCTGTAACTCGCAAGCGGATGAGCACAACTTGATGATCTCTCCCCTGGTATCCATGATAGCTTTCTCCATGTTCTTCATCACCTGGATCATAGTTGATTGTAGCTCCTCATAGGATCAGTACTTGTGTTCTGTGTCAATACTCAATTCTCAACTCTAGCTTTGTTCAGTTTGGTATTGTATTTCGTACTACTACGGTCTCGACTTGTGTATTTTGTACTTTTAGCCCTTTACCACCTTTTGGGCTACTACCCCACCCAGTTTGTTTACACCATACTGCCTTGTATTTCAAATTAGCTAGTAGCCAAGCTTCAACATCAAGGTTAAAGGACAACCTTGCTCTTCTTAAGTACAAGAGCACAAAGCATTAGGATCACCTTTGGGTGTGTTTTGTGTAGCGTTATTTCTCCCGGACTGCATTAGGTCTTCGAGCTCTGAACTTTATTTTTCACACCTTCGCTTGCACATGTATGTTCTTACATTGTGTATAGCTGGTTTTTATTTATTCGTACTTTTATTATTATTTTATTAGCTTCCGCACTGTGCACATGGTTACGTCACTTCCACGTGACGGCCAGCATGCCCTGATTTCGGTCGGGGTGTGTCAAGTTGCACATAACACACTATAGGAGATAATATTGTCATTTTCTTGCCATATACCCGTAATATTTCGTATAGATTGCAAGCTTAATTATTAATTTACTCTCCAAAATTAACTTTGTGCATTATTTTAACCAAAAAAAGAATTCTTAAACTCATTACAAATTAGAGAATTTTGTCTCCAACCTTGTCTGTAACTCGCAAGCGGATGAGCACAACTTGATGATCTCTCCCCTGGTATCCATGATAGCTTTCTCCATGTTCTTCATCACCTGGATCATAGTTGATTGTAGCTCCTCATAGGATCAGTACTTGTGTTCTGTGTCAATACTCAATTCTCAACTCTACCTCTGTTTAGTTTGGTATTGTATTTCGTACTACTACGGTCTCGACTTGTGTATTTTGTACTTTTATCCCTTTACCACCTTTTGGGCCTTTAAATCTTCATGAAAATAAATATACTACCCCACCCAGTTTGTTTACACCATACTGCCTTGTATTTCAAATTAGCCAGTAACCAAGCTTCAACATCAAGGTTAAAGGACAACCTTGCTCTTCTTAAGGCCAAGAGCACAAAGTACAAGAAGAATCAAGAGTCGAGTTTCTCTTGGCCTTTTGCTCATTTGTTAAAAGCCTATCTTTGGTAATTGACCAAGAAAGATCTTACATTTTGGATGGCACTTCAATTTCCATATATAATACGATGGAGAATGAGACCATTCAACTCCCTAAAAAAGGAGATCATAAGCTGTTTTGACATTGAATTGACCATTTGAACTTTGTCCCCATATTATCTTATACGTGCCAGCGCACAAAGCACCAAGAGGGTGACTAGCTATAATTTGGACCAGCTCTTCTGGAAGATCATTCCTTAATTTGTTTAGATCCCGCCAACCATCTTTAATGTAAGCAGCAACACAAAGTTCGTAGACATATCACTAACGCTATCAAGTTTATTGATTAGCGGCTCTCTAAAATCCAAGGGTCCATCCAAACCTGTGTGTTCAGTCCATTGCCTATCCTCCATAGCATACTTTTTCTAAGCAAATCAACACCATGCACTACAATACACTCTTCCAAGTATAAAGGAAGGACCACCCAAAGCCGAGCGCAGATTATAGGAAGAACCTGAACCACCCAAAGCAGCCTAGCAGTTGCTAGTTAGAGCATTCCCAAATGGGGGCTTTATCCTCCAAGAGGCTACTCTATTTCAAGCCTTAGTGAGAAATTTCATCTCCAATGAGAGGAAAATGGGGCTAGATCCACCATTTGGGCTATCAACTTCCTTTCTTGTGTAGCATAAACTTGGGTTACATCTAGCCCTAAAAAACAATGGGTCCCACGAGAAAAGTAGCAGCCCATATGAGCCACATTCTGTCACTCTCCCTCCACTTACGATAACACTTATACTCTCTTTTATTATTTTTTTAAATTCTTTTTTCTTATATATTTTTCTTGCAATTTGGCTAATTATGATTGTTTTAAATTCTATAAGAATCAAACTTTCAAATGGATTTAAAGTTCATAGGAATTAGTAGGTGAAATTTTCAAATAAAGTTTTTCAAAATTGTATGATACTAATTTACCAATTGGTGCTAGGTAAAATGTGTTGTACGTGAAAATCAAATTATTTCAGAGAGTGTATTGGAGATTTGTATCTTTCAACGGATAGAGATTGAGATAAGAATCTAATCCAACGAACGGTTCCTAAGTAATGAAATCTAACTTTATCATAATTTGAACTTTTTAGGTTGAAAGGTTCACAATTTTTTGTTTATTTTTTTATTTTTTTTAGGTTTACACGTCCAAAAATCAGCTTTAAAAAGCTAACACAAAAAAAAATCATCGCATAATCAAATTACTACATAAATAAATATATACAGCCCTATATAAGCCTAAAAGAAATAGTCCCTTATTGTGAGAGATTTTTTTATAAAGCCTAAAAGATTATTCGAAGCTCTAAAATGAACTATATCCATAATTTTTCTAGTCCTATATAAATTCCCTGAGTAGGGATGCTCTTAGCCTATTAGGGCAGATGTTACAGCCTTTTGACACAAGGATGTACTTTGCTTGCTGAAACTTGATGACATCAAAGAGTATAATCATGGAAGAACCCGTGAAGTACTAACAAATGCCAACGCCAAATTTGGGTCGTTGGATAGTTAGATAATATCGACTCATATCCTCAGTGTTGTTGGTTTCCAGCATGTTTGTAAACTTGCGTATAATATTCGTGTCATAGGTATGTATTTTTCAATAAAACTTTTTGTTTTTCGTACGCATATAAATAATCTATTAAATTGCACATTTTTTAAAATTCTAATGTATGATACACTATTTGTGAGATTCCACATCGTCCAGATGAGTGATCCTTATATGTATATTCCCATCTC